ATGGGTCACCAGAAAACCGTACAGATTTTACAAATCCTAGAGTGTCCATGACACCACTTCCAGTTTTAACTGAAGGTGACATCAGGATGCTCACATGGCGCTGGCCCACACACCCCAATTCCCTCCCCCATTTTCTCCCTCCAGCATTTCAGGGGCCAGAGGGCAAAACAAGGGGTTGCCAGTAGGTCTCTCTCGCTCTAGTGGAAGACCCAAAGACGCTACCTGTAAGGTGGATTCGGCTGAGAGTGATTGGTCCGATAAGGTTGCCAACCTCCAGGTGTGGCCTGGAGCTCTCATGGAATGTCAGATGATCACCAGATGACAAAAGCAGAGGCCAGTTCTCCCGGAGGAAATGGCAGCTTTGTAGGGTAGAATCTAGGGAATCACATCCCAAATGAGCTCCCTCCCCTTCCCAGACTCCACCCTTCCAAAACACCACCCCCACATCTCCAGGAATTTCCCAAGCCAGAGAACTGGGAGCTCTCTACACCCAGCAAGCTTCCAGGGCAAGAGTGGAGGTTTGATCCTGGGTCTCCTAGATCCTGGTCTGAGACTCGAATGACGCGGGCTCTCTGCTTTCTTTCCCTCCCTCCCCCTCGGAGCCTCTCCCTGGGAAAATCTGCCTGAGTTGCAAGTCATACTGCAGCCAGTTGCTCAGGTGTGTAGTGGTGACCCCTGTTGGGCCCCCCCAAGTCATGCAAATTGCATGGAGGCTGCCCCTGGGCCCCAGACAAGTTGTGCAGCATCAAGTCACAGCCACTGAGGATGTACGCCAAAGAATGCAGAACATGTTACAGTTTAAGTTCTCAAAGGAGACTCTAAAAGAGATATTGGCCGGGGGAGGGGGACTTCTTCTAGGCTGCTTCTTCTAGGCAACCCTTTGTCCCAGGAGGGGATCTGGGGCTTCCCGGACCTCATAGAGGCTTCCTGGAAGTACACAAGTAGACCCTAGATCACCCCGAAGCAGGGACCTGAGAGAGAGCGCTTGTGGGCAGCCATCGTGCACCAAGATGCAATCAACCGCTTCAGGAGCTGTACTCCAATAAAAGAATCTAATCTTGGGCTGCGGTCACATGGCCAGGAAAATGCGGGGGGGAAGCGTGGCTGTTTGCCCCGGGGAAAATTAAAGCACGGTTGCGCGATCAGACCTCCCGTGGAGCTCCTGTGGAGGTTCCGTGGAGGCCCCATGGTTAAGGGGAGGTGCGGATCACACGGCAAAGGAGCGGGGCCTCGGGGCAAGGAAGCGGGGGCTGCGCGCCGAGGGAAGGCGAGGAGGAGGCTGCCAGAGACAGCCGGCCAAGCGGCGCTGGGGAGAAGAGGGGCCAGCTGCCGACTGGGCGGTGTGGCATCGTGTCGGGCACGGCGTTTTCCCCACCAGTGAGGCAGGCAGGGGGTGGGCAGTAGGTCTGGAAGGGCAACAGTCTGGGGAGCCGGCTGGTGGGGCGCGCGAAGAGGGCAAAGCAGCATGGCCCAGCCCCCTCCGCCCTGACCGCCCCTTCCCCAAGCAGACTTCCTACTCTGCCACCGCGCCCCCCCTCTTCGGGGCTTCATCTACTGCCTTGTCCCCTTTCCCCCTATCTATCTGTCGCTCGCCTCAAGCCATGCGCTCGTTGGTGCTTTCTTCTGGCTGCTCTCTTCTTCTCTGCACGACGTAAGTTGTGTGTTTTTTTATTAAACTGACGTTTGTGCATGCTCCGTTGGGTGCTTGTGCGCAATCGTGGAGACTTGGGAAAAAACACCTTTTAGCTAGGGGACATGGGCGGGCGCTGGAACTACCTCCGGAAACGCGATCATACGCCCGCCCTTGCCCCGCAGTTTCCAGAAACTAGTACCTCCAAGGTACTAGTTTTTTACTCCGCGTTTTTGGCGTTTAGCCACGGGTTACCGACGGGAGCTCTACACTTGCCAGATGTTGCCCTGTGATCGTGCCAGGAAACTCCGCCTCTCTTCCGTCTCTGAAGCGTGGCTTATGCTCCGTGTGACCGCAGCCCTGAAAGACTATCCCTGAGCATCGGTCTGCCATTGTGAAACAAACCTCTCAGTTTTTATTCTGTTCTCCTCTGAGTTTTTACTTTAACAAATTCACTCTGGAATCCTTCCTTTTCTCTACTACTGGCTTCTAATTTTTGTTGAAGTTCCAGAATTTTCCTAGTTAGCTGCTCAAAGTCTGAATCCTTCCCCTTATTAAGGTCTGTGAGTTCCTTTGTTTTTTTTCCTCAAGGGGGAAAATTTCCCAAGCAGTAGCTCTGGGGAGACTGCTGTCATTCCTTGCAAGCTCTGTGTCTGTGGGAGCAGAGTATTTCTGAGAGGCTAGATTGGGATGAAAGCAACTGGGGGTCTGTCTACTGAAAGTGAAGCGGGACTTCTCTTCCCAGGGGGGGTTCCCAATGCCTGCTTTTACCATAGGTCTTCCCCAGTCATCTGACCAAAGTTTAGCCATGGATCCCAGAGGAGGAGTAGGGGACACTGGGCATCCCTAGCGGGAATTCGAAGGCTTTTACTGCCTGCTCGTCTGGTCAACAGGAATGGAGGCTGTAGGGTTTGGGGGGGACTACCTGGTATGACTTGGGCTTACTTCTTTCTTTATATATGTGTGTGTGTGTGTGTCAGCTAGCTGCCACACTTTCTTTGTTTTCTGTCGTCCCCGACCTTTGCGCATGCGCGCATGCTTGCTTTGCTTAGCTGCCATGGGTAACATAAGGGAGGTGCTTTTTTCCCCATGCGAACTGGCTTAGCCAGACAGCGCTATCAGTGTAACCTTGAAGAGAGGGGAGGGCTTGAATTCCACTATCAGTGTGAATATTTCTGCTCTCAGGGGGGTGGGGAGAGTCTCCCGTTTATGATGTAATGTCCCGCCGGGAGAATTCCCGCACGCGCGCTTGGATTTAATTTGCTTAGCTAGATGAGGCATCAGAGTATATGTATTGAGTCCCTTGCACTAATCATTATTCCTGACAATGCAACTGTACCACTTGGAAACAGAACAGCCAAAGCTAGGATGTTTTATTATTCTCAGAAAGAAATAAGAGTCACTACAAGGAAGGGAGGGGAAGGGAAAGGAGTTTGTAAGCTGCTCTGAGACTCCAAGTGAAGGGCAGGGTACAAATCCAATCTCTTCTTCTTCTTCCATCCTTGCACAACCCCCTGCACCATTTCTGAAACTCTTCTGAAATCATCACCCTTTCACAGCACTAAATTCTCTTATGTGAAGATCATTGAATGCCTGGTGGAATGTGTCCAGAGCTTCTTTACCATGTGTCTAAACAACAAAAATGTCATTGATGTAACACAAGTATAAGAGAGGTATGAGTGGGTGGGAGTTTAGGAAGCGTTGTTCCAAGTCAACCATAAAGATGTTGGCATACTCTGGGGCCATGAGGGTGCCCATGGCTGTACGATAATCTGGGGGAATATCAACGACTTACATCCTCTACTGAATAATGACAGTTCTCTTTCACATGGACTGGGGGGGGGAACCTTTTCTTGTGCACAGACAGCCCCCCCCCATCTCAAACAACTCATCACCCACAATAATGCAACAGCTAATTTGAACCTGGACACTGGGACCAGAGCTTGCAATAAACCCAGATGCCAACTTTGGTGCCACGTACACCCAGACAACACTATCACTGGACCTAACAACATCAACTACACCATCAGAGGCTCATTCACCTGCTCATCTTCTAACATTGTATATGCCACTAAAATTCAACGTCCTTCGGTTCTCTACACAGGACAAACCCTACACCAGAGGATAAATGGACACACATCTGACATCAGGAATCACAAGATTGAGAGACATGTAGGAGAACACTTCGACCTTTGAGGAGATTCAATGGGTGTCCTTAAAGTAGTTATTTTATTACAAAGGAAGTTCAGGAACAGAATGGAAAGGGAAATGGCTGTATTACAAGTTATTACAACACTTGGAACAAAAACCTCCCTAGGACTCAACAGGGATATTGGTTTCTTATCTCATTACATATGCTAACTCATTCAGTCCTCACATATGTACTCTCAACAAGAAGGACTATAAATTCTCTGTATTTCAGTGTATTTCTTTTTTGAATTGTATATTAGAATCCTGAATGTAACAAGGAATATTGGGATGTTTTGCTGACATGACCCTGCATCCACCTCAAAAAGTGCTGTTATGTGATCTCCACTCCTGGGAGGAGAGAATGGAGAGTCTCGGTTTGCTTCCCACAATTAGAAAAGACACCTTTAGTTTATCTGCTATTTTGACATATTTATTGCTTTACAGCCATTGACCTTATAACCTTAGCTTGTTATTTATTTTAAGCTTTGCATATTTTCAACATCATCATGTTACATGTTAATTTGCTGTCAAGTCCCAGATCTTTATTACTCAGCATGGAATATTCTCCTGTGCTTTTCCAGGCTTCTTGGAACCAGCTGGGCCTGTCCTTAAGGAGCAGGAAGTCCATCAGTTACCTATAACAAACATAGGAATAGGGTGTGGTCAAACTGCAATGTGGGCTGAAGAAGAGACCTGTGTGGAAATCTCAGTCAGAAGGAATGACAAGAAATCACGAGGGTGAGCTTTCAGTGAAAAGGGTCTCTTGAGTTACCACTTCCCGATGGCCCTGTTTAAAAATGGTAGTTTCTTATTCAGGAACATACCAGAGCAGTGAACAGTGGGGTTTGATCCAGAAATGTCTCCACAAATGCCCTAAGACTGGGATGGGACCCCACAAAGGACCATGTGGGGGTGGAAAGTGCCGTCAAGTCACAGCTAACTTCTGGCAAACAGTCATAGGATTTTCAAAGCAAGAGACGAACAAAGGCCATTGGCCACTGCCTGCCTCTGCAGAACAACCCTGGACTTCCCTGGTGGTCTCCCATCCAAGTACTAACCAGGGCTGACCCTGATTAGCTTCTGAGATCTCATGAGATTGGGTCAGCTTGGGCCATCCATCTCAGGGTAAGAACCATCTGTACAGCTTAAATTTGGCCAGAGAAAGAAAAACCAGTTTAGGAGGTGTGGGAAAGATTTTTTTAAATCTTAGGACTGCTGAACTAATTTGCTTTGGGACCACTTTTTGTATGTGTGGATTTACTTGCTGCGTATTCAGCTGGTAAGATTCGTAAGTACACAGACCCAACCGCTGAGAGAAGGATCGTGAAACAATACAAGCCAAGCCTTTTCTAGAAAAATTTCTCTCAGGAGATATCAGCCCCACCTCAACCAACCAGAAGTAGACATCATGAATCTAAAAGCTGAACTCACTTGGCTGTGCGACATTCAAAACTTGTGTTTTCCAGAAACAACAGTGTCGGGCAGGTGACTTCTGTAGAGCTTTGGGTGGTTGTGTGCTGAGAAGGAAGAAGTTCTGCGCTTTGGCATTGTAGAGTGGCCACTGAACCTCATTGGCGGTCACCCCGTTAGGATTCCTGTGAAGAGAATGGGGGGGGGGAGAAATCTCAGTGCAGTAAAGGGAATGGTCCTGTGTGAGCTATGCAGCATATTGAAACTATTCATCGCTTTATGCTCAGCCCTGGAGGAACGGTTCCAATATTCGTATCTGGTTTTGTATGGTTACATGTTCTTATTGAAGTATTTCATATTTTCAATATTCAAAAGGTTTTCATATTGGCCGCCTTGGGGGCCCTAATTGGCTGAAAAAACAGCATAAAAATATTTTGATTAGTTAATTAAATCTAATGAAATCCACATTGAATTGCATTACACTTAAAGTAAGTACACCAGAATTACCGACATGCCTGATTTGTTTAATTCACCAGTAGCTCAACGAGATGGATCATGTCGCTAAAAATCAGACTTCCATTGCCACCCAAAACAGAGTTCCATCCTTCTAAGCCCATGGACTTAAATAGGTTTAGAAGGGTGTTACTCTGTTTAGGATCACACATACAGTGGCCAGCCTATACGCCTACGAAACTGATGAATAGCTTTCTGCATGTGAAACACCGATAAGAGTATTGGCTCCTCGTTATAAGGCGACCTCGAGGAAGAATTTATTATTTGAAAAGGTGTTCTGAAATCCAGATGTGTCCGCTGTTGGATTACAAACCTGCATGATTTCTAAGAAGAATTTTTGCTGTGAAATTAAGAAAGGAATTGCATACTGAACTTTCGGTTTGATGGACCTTGTGAATGTTTTACACAAAATGTGATCCTTTACGAATTTGATTATATCGAAATTGGTCAATTAATTTGCACTTGCAATGAGATATTACAGTGATTGTGCTATTTGCCTCCTATGCGGAACCTGGAGTCCTCCTACAATTAGGGTTGCCAGGTTGTATCTTCCCCCTGGCAGGGGGCCTTTTGGGGCATTCCAGGAAGGGGTGGTGCTGTCCCCGATGTGATGACATCATGTAGAGTGACGTCATAATGTTGGGGACACAGCGCCACATACACACACACCCTGCTTTTCCCCAACAACTTAAAGGGAATCTTACCTTAAAATGGTTGGGGAAAGAGCAGGTCCCCCCACGCACCTGCCTGGCAGAAGAAGAAGAAGACGAGATTGGATTTATACCCACCCTTCACTACCCAATGGAGTCTCAGAGTGAGCTCATCAAGCAGCCTGGTGATCCTAGCACCTGAGGGCAGAACCACCAATGTGGTCTAGAGAGAGATCCTTCAGTAGAGAAAAAAATAGTATGTCTCACTTCATTTCTTACACTACAATCTTCTCCATTAGAATTCCTACAACTGTCACATTTCAAATTTCACATCATCAGTATTATAACTGGATTTACGGAACTTAAATACTGTAGTGAACCACGGGTATCAGGCTAGTAAGAGATAAAGTAAGCAATGGCCTACACTGCAGGACCCGCAGAAAGGGCAACTACAAGGGGCACACCCTTTGCGCGATGGCTACAGGCTGCTCACAGATCTTAAATAGGGTCTTTCAGGGGGTGGGGCTGCCCATGTAAGCTTGTGCTAGATGGCGCATCATTTGCCTAATTAAGAAGAAGAGGAGGAGGAGATTGGATTTATACCCCACCCTTCACTTGGAGTCTCAGAGCAGTTTACAAACTCCTTTCCCTTCCCCTCCCCACAACACACACCCTGTGAGGTAGGTGGGGCTGAGAGAGCTCTTTTCAGGACAGCTCTTGAGGGAACAGCTCTGACAGAACTATGGCTTGCCCAAGGTCATCCAGCCAGGTGCAAGTGGAGGAGTGGGGAATCAAACCCGTTCTCCCAGATTAGAGTCCATGCACTTAACCACTACACCAAACTGGCAAGCCGCGGTTTTGCAGGTTGCGAGGCAAGCATGTGCAGGGGTGTGGAGAACTGTTGGTGGTGGGTCTTTGCCCCACCAGCCAGCTGGCCAGAGACTTGGGGAGCCCCAAAAATCACCCCCTCCCCCACCTGGGGGACTGGCATCCATACCTAGAACTATGACTGATCAGTTCCTCTGGAGAAAATGTCTTCTTTGGAGTGTGGGACTCTATGGCATAATACTCCACTGACGTCCCTCTTCCCCCCAAAACCCCACCCTCCCTCAACTGCACCCCTAAATCTCCAGGAACTTCCCAATGTGGTGCTGGCAACTGTAGTGCACTACCAGATTTCTAAAATGTTTTCACCATCAACACCTGTGCCAGGAGAACAGTGACTGCAGCTGCTTCAGCAACAACTTACAATGACCAGATTGCAGAACTTACCCCCACCAGACAGTGGAAGCTGCAACTGGGTCCCACTCTGCTTCATTAGGCAAACGATGTGCCACCTAGCACAAGCATGCATGGGGCAGCCCCACCCCCCGAAAGACCCTATTTAAGACCTGTGAGCAGTCTGTGACCATCACAAAAAGGGTATGTCCCTTGTTGCTGCCCGTTGTGCGGGTCCTGCAGTGTGCGTCATTGCTTACTTGATCTCCTATGAGTGAGCTTTCCCCACAATAAACATGTGCCTGGTGGAAGATATCTGGATTCATCAGATCCCGTGGGTGGCCTTCTACCCAATTATTGTGTCATTTCTGTGTTGCTTTCTGGTGGAAATTTGATTGTGGGACTGTGTGTGGCTTAATACGGAGAGTCGTATTCGTGGAAGAACTGGTAGGCATTTTCTAACAGTTTTAAACAAACGGGCATGCCTGTGGTAGAGAGCAGAAGGCCACGAGAGGAAAAGGGGATGCCTTACCCATGTCTAGCAAACTCTGCCCAGTATCGCTGCACCCTGCGGCTTAACGCGGCCTCCTCCGCTGTGCATGTTTGGTTGGCAGCCAGGATTGACTTAAAAGTGCCAAATAAGTAAGGCAGTTCAGCACCATGGGGTGCCTCAATCCACTCAGGCCAAACAGAGCCCAAGGTGCGCTGTGAGAAGATGTAAGCGTACACAGGACTTCCAGCTTTGGTCAACTTTGCAGCAATTTCTGCTGAAGGGCATACGAAGAAGTAATCACCACTGGACTGCACCATGGCCCAGCGGTAGGATTCGAGGCCATGGACCTCTTTGCTGTATTCCTTCACCACAGCCTCAACAATTTCTTCTGTGGCACTTCGTACCGTCTTCCTCACAGCCTCCACCAGCTGTTCCCTAGTTATTAGCCCATCTTTGGCATCTGGAAAAGTGGTCTCTACGAGCACAGCCAATTCATCAGAAGTGGTGCCAATGAGAAGGGGTTTATTTGGAAAGCGCCCAGCCTCCAGAAGTGTCTGTGGGTCCTCAGTGAGGAATTCTCCATCAGTGGTGGGTGTGAAAGGAATGTCCAGAAGCATTGTGCTGTTCAGTGCATATAACTCATACTGATTGAAACCTGCTACATCTTTTCCCTGCAGGCATGTCACCACCTCGGCGGCATCATCTTGAGTACAACCCTGCTTCTGGGCCAGATCAAGTGCTCTCTGTTTGGCCTCCTCAGGACTTGTCCAAGCATAGACAGCATTCATAGTTCCACTTTGCATCACAGCCCGGGCAAAGAGGGGCTGGCTTTCTGGGGAGAGGAGATGGAAACCCACCAAGGCTCCTCCAGCACTCTGTCCTGAAATGGTCACCCACGCAGGATCTCCTCCGAAGGCGGCTGCATTCTCCTTCACCCATTTCAGTGCCAGCTGTTGGTCCCAAAGGCCAGCATTACCTGGGGCACTTGGTGGTAACGAAAGGAAGCCCAGAGCCCCCAAGCGGTAATTCAAGGACACCACTATGAGATCCTCCTCAGCAGCTAAGGATGCCCCATTATACATCTCCAGAGAAGACGTGCCACTGAAAAAACTCCCACCGTGTATCCAGACAAGGACAGGGACTGGGGTAGGAGGCCTTGGATGGGGCGCCCAGATATTCAGAAAGAGACAGTTCTCTGACAGTGGTGGGCTGACAGTCCACATTGATGTTTGGGGGGTGCCAGGAAGAAGCAACTGGGAGCAGGAGTTGCCAAAGCTGGTAGCCTCCAAGACTTGACTCCAGGGCTGATGGGGAAGGGGCTTCTGGAAACGCAATTTCCCCACAGGCGGTTCTGCGTAGGGGATACCCAGATAAGCAGTCACGGAGCCAGAGCCAACCTGGAGATGCCTGCCTTTGACAGGGCCACTGCTGGTGACCATGATGGTGTCATCTCCTTCAGAGGCAGAGTTGGAGGCCAGTGGGAAAAGGAGGAAGAGCCACAAGAATGGAAGACGGAGACTGGACATTTCAGCAGCTGGAAGCTGGAAGGGAGGAAAAAGTCCCAGAGGAAGTTAGGTGAAGTACAAGAGGGGATGTTTACCTTTTTACCAGAACACTGCACCCATCTAACCCAAGACTGGGTTGTGACCAGGGGAGGGACAGGACTGATGGGGGGGGAACTGCTCACAATCGCCTTCCCTTTCCCTCCCCACAACAGACGCCCTGTGAAGTAGGTGGGGCTGAAAGCTCTCTTGAGAACTGTCCTTGAGAGAACAGCTCTAAAAGAACCTGTGACTGACCCAAGGTCACCCAGCTGGGTGCATGTGGTGGGGCGGGGAATCAAACCCAGTTCTCCCAAATCAGAGTCCACGCTCCTAACAACTACACCTAACCACTACACCAAACAATATTGTTCACATTGTTTCCCAATTCTGTAATCCTAGTCCAGGGGTTCCCAATCTATTCAAACCTGTGGGTAATTTTGAAATTCTGGCACAGGGTGGGCACAACCACAAAATGGCTGCTACAGGGGGTGGAGCCAACTACAAAAGGATTGCTGAAGGAGGAACTAGGAAAAGAGTAGATTTTATTCCCTCCTTTTCACTACCTGAAAGAGTCTCAAAGCCACATACAATTGCCTTCCCTTCC